ATTCCATATTGATAGCAATGACCAAGATTATTTTGTGCATAATCATTTCCTTGTTCAACTGCTTGTTTATATAATTCAACTGCCTTCTTTGCATCTTTCTCTACTCCAATTCCATGTTGATAGCAATGACCAAGATTATTCTGTGCAACAACACTTCCTTGTTCAATTGCTTTCTCATATAATTCAATTGCCTTTTTATCATCCTTCTCTACTCCAATTCCATTTTGATAACAATAAGCAAGATTATATTGTGCAATAGCAGTCCCTTGTTCAACTGCTTTTTCATATAATTCAACTGCTTTCTTTGCATCCTTCTCTACTCCAATTCCATGTTGATAGTAATAACCAAGATGGTTTTGTGCAAAAGCATTATTTTTTTCTGATGACAATTTATACAAGTAGACTGCTTGATTAAGATCCTGTCCAATTGTTATTCCATGTTCATAAAAAAAAGCAAGTACCCAATAATCAACATGATCCATGAGCCTCTTAACAGGAGGATAGTAATAGCTCTGTTGATACCATCCATTATGTGCTAACCAGTCTTTAATCGAATTAGCAATCTGATGTTGCGTTTTTCCTTTCAATAATCCTTCTTGATATATACTTGACAACTGGACAGAAAATTCATGATTTGGAAGTATTGCTGGTTGACTCATAATACTCAATCTATAAAAAATCTGCTCACTAGATGGTCTTTTCTCATGAGCATCATCCCAACATTCTGAATATAAGGCAACATATTCTTCAGGTGTTCCCAAAACTGGAGCATCCCGCCTACCATTTAGCCTGTAATTTATAATGTCAGTATAGGAGTTAAGTCCATTACATGGACTCTTACCACCTGAAATTTCCCACAATACCACTCCAAAACTAAATATATCCGACTTTTCATCACGTTTAATAGAAGGGTCTAACAAACATCTGGGGTCAACGTATGGAAGAGTTCCTTTAATGTTTGAATTGGTTTTTTGTTGCAAGACCAGATCAGACGAACCAAAGTCTGTTATCTTCGCCACACCAGCGTGAATCAATATATTAGATGAAGACTAATAACAATGAGCTGTCGATAGTTAGTTCTGATCAAATAATATTGTTTCTGCACATCTATACTTACCAAATCTTTATGTATAATACGGCGCTCGTGAAGATACCTCAGGCCGTTAGCAACATCGATACCAAGTTTGCATCTCGTAGGCCAGTCCAATTCGACAGGCGGGTTAGATAAGTAAGATCGTAATGAACCACTGTCGGCGTACTTGAAGACCATTACATATCTGTTGACTGTATCTGTTATCAAGTCTCCAGTCAATGCCATATACTGTATATTAAGTGTACTCCGTAACAATAACTCAACGTTACCTTTACTAACTCCAAGGAATCGAATTATGTTGGAATGATCATCAACGCTTCGATGAATCTTAAGCTAAAAGTATCGTTTCGGTGGCAGTAAGTAAAGCAATAAATTCACAAATATAAGGTCAGTGTCTACGTTACTAACCTCTTTGACAAAGTCTTCCATCTCATCTTCATTCTGCGAATGCAAAATCTTGTAAGCCACCGTTCTACCAAGTGACTTCACTTTGGCTTTGAAAACCGCCCCAAATCCTCCGCTACCGATGTATACTACGTCAATAAAGTCATCGAAAGAATAAAACCGAATGCTTCCATCATCAATATTCTTTCTTAGCCAATCCTTATCTGACTGTATTGACGCCATGTTTGTTGCTGCAATTCGCAACGACTCTCGCAAGAATGTGACCGTCATTAAATTACAGCCAATCACACTTGGTAATACGCACACAAAAAATGCTGATTGGGGGGTACCATAAGTCCGTATATGAGGCTTTTTTTCGTCGATCATCGCCCGATCATTTTGCAAATAGTAAAAGACGTATAAACTTCAAAATCTTAAGGCTTTTCAAGGACGTGGGCTATGACCTCAAAACTTAGACTGTAGATACTTTCATGCTTGCTTTACCAGAAAATAAGGCGTTTTCTAAAAACATCATTATTATTCTTATACTTATGCGTTGTAGTCGAATATAAATACTTTACTGCGCCAAAGCGTTATTTGCGTTTACTCGAAGATTAATTTTTAGCTACAAATTTAAACGTTACATACCATTGGATTTAAAATAGTTTTGAAACGTTTTTTATTAAGCTTAGATTAAACATTTGAAATACTTAGTAGATACCTTTAATGGTTTTACGCAACGTTATATCAATGATGTAGTCGGTAAAAAATTATGTTATTACCAAACAACGATTTCATTAATTACTCTATTATGAAATTATTGTTGTTATTATTAGCAAAAACTGTAGTAAGTTCTCCAAAAATAAATGTTTTTTTTTTAGCATATAACTTTACGCAATTTACAACTTAGTCCCGAATCTCGCTTTGGCTATTCAATATTAGCTAGTGTACCATTATAATTTTTACTTGTATTTGAATTTATTGAAACAAATTGTCTTGCAAAAACATTATTTAAATATGCCAGAACGTCTCAACATAACTTTAACTAAAATTTTTTATGTTGCAATTTAGTGGTTTACTAACGTTTTATGGTCAACTATTTTACCAATTAATAGGTTATTTACAACGACAATACAAATAAATAAAATATAAATATTTCATTATAGTGACCGGGCCGAACAATTTTCGTTATTGGCATAACTAAAGTATTAGAGCATGATATCTTGACTGTTAACTTGTCTGTGACCGTGACGTAACAGATTACATGTCATATTACGTTACCATCGTCACTATCTCCCGACTGTTAACCAGTGAGAAAATTTTTATACAGAACAATTGCAATATTATGTAATGTGTGTCACAGACTCACACCCTTTACTGCGTAGATAACTTTGCGCGCAATCGAATATAGTTACGCGCGCTTCTCTCCGAACAGTTCTCTGTTACCGCTCCAGAACATTACGCGACCAAAGCCATCGAACGAAGAACAATCCGTATTACATACGCATACGACAGTTTTATATGACTCCCGACCTATACATATACACCCAACGCTTTCCTTATTGCGCGCATCGCTTACAACAATCTTCTTCAAGGCGTAAGTACAGCGAACGATTTTTGCCGTTACTCCACTCCATATTACAAATGTGCAAAAAGATATTTGTACACTATTAAATCGACAGCTAACGCTTCTGGCATACATAAGAGAACTAAACAACTCTCTCCTACTATCGGACAAGGGAAGTAAAAGTGCTTCATAGTTTGAAATAGATTGATTTTGTAATTATTTTCTTCCTACTTTGCACCGAGACGCTAATATCTATAACAGCGTTTTGTTAATTACCAAAGAGACTATCTAAACTTCTAAATACATTGTAACTTACTATTTGCTGTTTCCGGTAGGAACATTTCTCAGCAGGCGGCTTTCCGGTTGCCTGTTTTAAGATAACCATTCGTTTTCGAATCAAACATACTTTGATGGGAGCGCATTAAGGCAACAGGCAAGTAGGCGAACAAGTTGTTTATATAGTTATACCAGGCATTGCGTATAAGTGGATAGAGCCTTTCGGCTTAAGAATCTGCGATGTGTGGGGATTGCGATTACTCATGCGTTACAGATCAGTGGTGGTAACTTGGAGATTGCAATCATTCAAGTTCAGAGGCCATGATTGCGATCACTGGACCTAAACCACTCCACACGCATTTGCCTTCACAAACATCTGCGACGTATGGGGATTGCGATCACTCATACCTCTCCAGAATAACTTGGTGCTTGCGACCATCAAGTATAACAAGCATTGCTTATAGTGGATAGAGCTTTTATAGCTTAAGAATCTGTTATGTATGGGGATTGCGATCACTCGTACGTTTCAGATCAGTGGTGTAACTTGGGGATTGAGATTACTCAAGTTCAAGGCTGGGATTGCGATCACTGGACTTGGTCCACTCCACTTGCATTTGCTTTATAAGGATCTGCGATGTATGGGGATTGCGATCACTTGTACGCTTCCAGATTCAGCAAAATTGTAAAGTTTTTCTAGTTGGGAGAAGCCGATTATAATTTAACACTAATGTTTGTTTTTGTTTTTTTTTTTTGCGTTTCGAGACAACAACTTAGGTTTATGAATATCACGGAGCAGACTGGCAGTCATTTGCGTCGGTGAGTTTTCGTACTTGTATTTTTTTTGTTTCTATTATAATAAGCTTATTAACATCTTTTATTTTTTACAAGTAAAACACCCAAATCCCAGAAGGTATTACCCAGAGAGTCAACACGGATACAGCTTGTCAAGATAATAACACCATAAATTCAAATTTTTAGGTTACAGAACGTTGAGTCGGATCTTCAGAATACTTCTTTCGACAAATAATTGCATCGATTTATGCATAAATGACTAGTACTACCTTTGAATAAAATGCAGTACCACACTATTAAACTTGTACTCCTTAAATACAGTCTGCGTAATGTTTGAAATTAATATGCAGATTTTACTAAAGCTTATTCATATCTGTAAACTGTTCTTCGTGTTAAAGTATCGCCTGCTAGCAGATTAAGAGTCTAAACCAGCTATTTTTACATTAACACACACGTAATTGCTTATTTGACAATTATTGGCAAAAAACTCCGCATATTTCTGGAATTGATTCCGCACACATCAGATGTAGTAATGCCTCCATAAGCTCATACAAAATAAAGATGTAGCTGCCTCCTCCATATAAACAACGACTTTAATGTCATATTTTCCTTCAATTTACTGTAATTTTGTTATTAATCATTATGTATATACTCAAAATATTGTATTGTTTACGAAATTCTTACTTAACAGCAACCAATATTTTATAGATTTGATCTCTTGATATACGGTAATCAGCGATGTACCAAATACAGTAAAAAAAAATACTGTCTACAGTTACATGCTAATTTTGTTAAGCGTTATTGGAGTATACATACGACGTGGGGCGGCAGTGTGTATTCTTTTGTATAAACGCATTTCGGGATTACACATAACACGTTTTTATCCAGTTAACTAGGAATGTTCTCTGTGCTACGACGTCCAGGACGCGTTGTGTAGCCATGAGGCGGTAATTTCAACATTGTGTGGATCTGTTGAAAGCAATTTTTTTCCGACAAGCCGAGTTTTTGGCTAATAAGGAGGATTGGTAATAATCAGTTTATATCATTGGGAAAACTCTTTTATGGTGTCTTTTTTTTACCTCGGGAGAGACATAAATCAAAGGAAAACATTTCTGCCTACTACTATTTTGGATACTGTTCAACTTTCCTTGAAATAACTTATATAGTTTTCGAGAGAAGGTATAAATTCATATACGTGGTAATTGAATTAATTGCATATTGTTACGGTGACAGCGTTATGTAGAATGGCAGAACTACATACGTCAATCTCAAGTTTTGTGTCTCAGAGAAGAATATGTCTTGCGTAAATGTATAAAGCGCGAGTCAGTTTTCACCGGCAATTCAGTAGGTTCAACGGTATAGGGTATCAAATAATGTAATTAGTGAATGATTGGAGTATTAAATGCGGAATAATGGGCTTGAGAGTGATAAACAAGTGAATTGCAAAAGTTGAAGTTTACTTGATTGTGTTGTTAGTGATCTTTAAAAACAATTTCGAAATGGCTATTTTGCATGGAAGGGAATATAATTTTTTACATATAGCGCTAACTGTTTATCATTAGCATCAAGTGGTTATGGCTTCTGGCAATTAACATTAACACAAACCTCACCAAACTGTTATTTGAAGACCAATATTCTATACCAATAAATGTACACAACTTCTGTTACGAAACGTCCTTGTATACTGTCCGCAAAACATAAAATTCTCTATATAGCAAAATTTTTGATTACTTACATTATTCTTTCCCCTGAGAGTTGCCGGAATGGATACTGGTTCGATGTGAAAGGTGTAAGTTAAGTATGGTAGGTTCTTCGGACCCTTTTTCAGATTCGCTTACTTCGGCTTTTCGTATTGAAGCATGTCAGCGTGAAGGTTTATGTCGTTCTCTAATTTTATTTCGTAATTAATTCATGTCGAGACTGTTTTGACTCACTAAATTGTAAGACAACAGAAGAGGTGAGAGGTTAAATACCATAGATTGACATCACATCACTCGTAACCACATACCTGCAGTTGAATATATTATAACTATTTTTTGGTTTAGGTAAATTTTCCTTTAGGTAAGAGCTTAGTATAATTTTACTTTCCTTTTCAAAACTGAAGGTTGCTATGCCGCGCTGTCAGCAGAACTGTCCACATCCAACTTTTTAAAAAGTTTCTAATATCGCTCCAAATTATCTCTGCATCTGGACCTTATCAGGATCATTATCAATACGGTCCAAGTTTTCGTATTTGTCTGGTGGTGAATCGGCGTTGGCCATAATGTCACGTATTAGATCAAATCTTTATCAACCTGCCAGTGGCAAATAAATACGAAAGGATACACTTGATTTTTGAGTATAAATCGGAAGACTTTTGGTGCAATAATGTGTATGATACTATTGTTGGACCTAAAATAAAGGCAATCATGGAATCAATAGGGTAATTATTAATTAACACATAATATGAGCGTACTAGTTAGTGTATACTTTTGTAAATAGTTATTGCGATAATTAACAACTTGTTATTTTATCTTTATTCTAGAATTCCTACCCGTGAGCACCCGCATCCATTTGTTCCAACAATAGTAAACGAACTGGCGGTCCCAAACCATAAATGAATTTAATTTAGTAAAAAGTAATTTATTTTTTAATTTGCTAATAATATCGCAAAGGGGTAGATATTTAATAGCTGACAGGGATAAAAAGGGGTTGTAAATGCTTAAATTGATTGGACATGACAAAAAAATAAGTGCAGTAATTTTAGAATAGCGTTATATACTTAGAATAATTACTGTATAGATTTTTGCTCAATGATGTAGGACTTGCAATTTTTTGGTAATAAATAAATTATTTGGTATCACAATACTTAACTCTAATTGGCGTTATAAATTATACGAAATTTTTATTACAAAATTTTTTACAAAATGTTTAATAACGTTATTTTTTCTTTATCTACAAACCAACATTCGAGTTACAATTATGGGCTCTATAATTATTTTCCTTGTTGACAACCTACGTCCACTATATTTTTTTAGACGTTAATATTTAAGTACGTACATTAGACTTTTAACCTTTGTATTTCTGTCTTGCTTATCTTTAATATATTTCGAGCATGGTTCTCGTATGCTAAAACAGGAGAAATTTGTTGCATTTGCTATGATTTCATTGCACAAGTGAACCTACATACATCCTATACACATACCTACACATTTTTGCATTATGTGCTATCTAACTTGAATGCAAGCAAACTGCATAACAGACTCAATATGTAAATACAGCCCTGGTACAATGGGACACGGCAGACATGATACTCATTCTTGTAAGAGACTGAAGCTGAACTTTATCGTTATTAGCGTATCAAGTGCCTTAGAGTTTAATTACATGTTGACGTTTCAAGTTCAGAATCCGCAACATGAGCCAAGAAATTTTGCAAATACGATCTGATGCAAAAAGACAAATACCTCGAAATTGATCGCTATCAAATCGTCTAGTTAAAGTTGTGTGTGCGACTTTAATAACTATAACTTTTTTTTTCAGTGAACAACCATCCATCTTATATAGTACATCATTTAACTTGTTTGAAATGTCTCTATTTTCGAGCCGGCAAAGTGCTGCTCCTCTAACTGATACGAAAAAATAACGATTTTAAACGCTCACAAATACTTTTCAGAGGATAATTTCCAAAACGTCAAAAGTTTACACTAGGCAAGCGCGTTGCTGAGGTTTTGAAGATATGTGTCTTTACTAAAAGTGTTTGAGTCGAAAGCTTCTTTCAAGCTCTATTTACTATTACGCACAGCTACACGAAAAAAAAGTCGTTGTTATACATGATGGTAACGTGGCGCATCTTCATGTCGCCTGATTATTTACATCTTAGTCACACAATAATCAGTTACAGTATAACGGACATTTAATGATGCAAAAAGAAAACTACGCGTCATTAATAAAGTATTACCCGCACAAATACATAATTTCTAAAGCCGTGGACTGTATCGATAATATATAACACACCAATTAATTTAACACAATCAGATTTCAAACTCAAAACAAATTTGCCACCTTCGATAGGCATACAAGGCGCAAGAGTCATGTATTTAAACAAGTCACTAATTGAAAAAGTTGTCGGCAATGGTACAGTTGGAATTATTACTGACTTTGACAAAGACACTCTTTCAATCAAAGTAGCGTTTTGTATACGCAGTGGAATAGTCCATCACTGTCAAACATCTTATTTTATACAGCAGGCAGAAGGCGTCGCACATACACAATTTTCCCCACAAATTCATTGGCACTGTACACAAAACACACTACCGAACGTAACCCTAATACTAGACAATAACATAAAAATGCATTCATTACAGACAGAAGAGTAGTTGAGGAATACCGACGCCTTCAACTATTAGCAGAACAATCACTTAGACAAGTTACTCCAACTACTACTTAAACAGCCATCATATCGCTCTAGCTAAACTTAATAAAACATACATGTTATTAATAACTTTAAAAACTATAGAAAATAAACTATTAAAAAGCGTTTCAAACGTTCATCTGCTTATATTGCACTATGCCTGGTCGACGCAGTCGACCGTGCGCAACAAAACTTTCCTAATAATATACGTAAAAGTTAATATTGAAATTAAAAAAATTTGCTTACTGTAATTGGAGAACATACACCAAACTAATGATGGTTGAGATAACATGGGATGGAGCATTTTGTCTGTTTTAAAACAGTTTGGTTAACTCACAGGCCGTTTTGATAATGCCACTTAGGCCTATTTAATACCTTAAGCGTAAAAGTCTATTTGTGCGTGCCGAACCGTAACACATCTGTCATGCTGATTTGACAGCAGATGTTACTTGTCAGTCAGCTAACTTTAAATTGTATAAACTTCAGGCGGATACATTGATCTGAGAAAAGTAGTGCAAGCGTTTGGTTATTTGAAAACATTTGTTTGTTCTATAAAAGCTGGTATTGCGAACGCGTGCATAGTAGACGTTGTCAATTTGACTACGAAAAATTGTTATTTTTACTGAATTGAAGATTACGGCTGAGCTACAAGCTCTGCTTGACCTTCTTTTCTAGCTTTGCAATGTTATGCACCCCATAAGCAGTTTTATTTTGGTGATATAGCGTAGCGTAATGCAGACTAAGCGTACTATTGGAAGAGTGCAGAAAACTATTTTAAAATAGAATGTTATACAAGAATGTGTCCAATAAAGAGATTACATGTCTGTAATCCTCTGTGCGGTGATATGTATTACGAGACTATAATTACACAAGCATTTTTCTGTAAAAAGATACTTAACGGCGGCTAAACTTCCGTGTTCAAATCTCTTAGGACGGCTACATTAATTTGTTAAAATGAATCGTATTACTGTTATACGTTTGATCTTCTCGTTTCTCTTTCACTTTGTATTTGGTGCCTCTTCTCCAACGGTTCCCTATATTATAATTCGCAAGCCAGATATTATTTTTATATAGTTATCTCTACCGTACCGTAATTAAAGAAAAAGTGTAATTATCGTGTATTGTGACATTAAAATTCATCATTACTATGCTCAATCATGGTAGTTGCATGTTATTTTAAACCGCTAACTTCTTCCGTTAAAATTTTCATTATTTAATAAAAAAGACTAAATATTAATGCTCGCTAAAAGTAAAGGGAAACGTTTTTTCTGTCGGTGAGGACATTCCTGTTAAGATCTGCCCCGAGCCTGGAATTCTTACAGTAGACTTTATAACTCTTCTTGCTCAACGTTTGAAGAAAATGCGCTAAATATTGCAGTACAACCAGGTAAGTAATATTACTGCTGTCATTAGCATTTATTACAAGTAATAACTAATTTTATTGTTTTTTTTTTTCCCAACATTGATAGGAACAAAGTGCATCACATTTAAGTTTCATCCGACTACATCTCTTCCCATCTCTCCTGTTACCTTCTTTCAAATCTGCGGCTTTTACTGTCGGTAAACCTGGATTTGGGTTAATTCTTACCAATTCTGTCACGGATGCAAATGTTCATGTAGGAAAAATTTAAACTATAAGTTTATTAAACAAGTTATCTTGATTACATATTAATGAATACATGTTCTTTATTATTAGTGTGGCG